CTGACGCGTCTGCCTCCGCGACCCGAAAGGAGAAGCGGCGATGGAAGATGAAGATGAAGAAGATGATTTCGGGCTCTTATTCTCCTACTCTGAAGATCTGCCATTGAAAATATGCTTTCGCACGCAGCAGTATGGTAATAACCCTTAACTCTTTCAAAACCAGACTGTACGATATTTTGTACCACCTCTCGCTCCTTGTCGCCTTAGCATGTCTCAAGTACATGATATTTGAGCATCTGCGGTGCCATTCGGATCATTTTGCTGACTAGTGCAATATATTTGAAACAACAACGTTTCAGGGGTAGGCCTGATACTTTGTGTATGCCTTAGCCCAGCTATGTGAAATACGGTGGTATAAGTGTTTAACCGTTGAAGGTGACGTTTTCTGGAGTAGAAACCCATATTTATGCTGAAGTATATAAAGAGTCCCGGCTTCGATAATGTCACAGAAGATTGTGAAGATATCGATATCGTCAGTAAAATGTTGTGAGATGCGTTGAACACGGCATGGGCTCAGATGTTATGTGACCTTGATTTGTTAAAATCCCACCCTTTCAAAGCAAATGAATGTAGTTCAGTAGTGCAGTGCGTCCTGAAAGCAGGTCTTATAGGAGCTAGTGGTTTTATAGTTCGATCGACAGTACAGTTCTGTTGGTACGGTATCACGTGCACTTTAAAACACTGCACTTTATTATACAGTTATGTCTAGCATCGTTACGTATAATTCTTGGAACTACGAATTTATTATGATTCGAACGGTATGTAGCTTCTGCATTAAAATAGAAAAATGAGTTTAATAAATTTCCTCTGCCTTACGCTTGATTTGTATACCCTTTTGTAGTGTCATCGTTATTTTGTTGAAAATTATTTTTTGTTTTAATGGGTGCTTTTTAGTTTGCTGGTTTCGCCGTTCTTGGCCTTGGCATATGGTCCCTTTGTTACAAAAGTGACTATGCTTCGTTGCTGACATCGAGCACGTACATCGTCACCGTTTATCTGTTTACAGCAGCGGGCGTGCTGGTATTGTTCCTCGGCATATTCGGTTGCGTAGGTCTGTATAAAGAAAATCGGTCATGTCTCCTTCTGGTAAGTAATAATAACGTCACGTCAGTTTTATTTCTTGATGTAACAGATTTGCAAAAGACAGACGACAGCGTTTGCCCTTCAGGCACCAGTCAGTTAGTCAATCGATCGGTCGGTAGGTCGGCCGCGTGTCCTTTCGGATCACAAGGGCATACGCGTCAGATGGTGTTTCCATCGTCCCCAAGCCCGTGCGATCATTTGAACTTCGGCAGAAGATAGCCCGAGTCAGGAACAGTCTTTCCATACACATGTCTCATACTATTTTTGTCAGTCCTTGGGGTCTTCGGCCGATCGGTTTGGCATGTCGTAGCTGCAGTAGTAACGCTGCGTTGCCGGTCCCCGTCCTGATTGAAAAAGGAACAGGATTTCCTCTGAAATTTAGCCACTTGTTCCTCATGGTATTGCTGTCACTGAAGATTGTACCAGCGCGGTCGCCACCCGGGTTACCAAGGGTCGCGCACGCTATTTGGGAATTGTGTCAGCCTGTGGAAAGTTGACGATCAGAACTTAATTCACGCCGAGTAACTGTTCGGGGTGTAGCAGCATGGCGACGGCTTCAGAAGATCGACAGAAAGATGACGAAAGTGTCTCAGTCAGCGATGGAGCCGTCCCGATGGGGCGAACAATATGGCATCATTACAGCACGTCAAATAACGCGTATGTCGTTGATTATCCTGTTAGAAAAAGAAAAAACAGTTTGTAAACACTGGAATATGCTGGCTACTTTTATTCTCTCACGAGACGCGCTGCTTCTTGTATCTTTTTTATAAAGTTGATGAGGTGACACTATTTTTCATTTAGATCCCATCAGGAAAGACTGTAATATGTTTTGAAGATAATATAGCTATCCATATGACCGTCACAGTTTATAGCCACGATCTTGCTTCTTTCTGTAGAGTGACATTTGATTATCTTGATACAGGAAGTATCATTAGCGAGTTAACCAGGCGAGTAAACCTATGAAGTTTCAAACTTGAGTCCAGTGTTCTACCCGGTCTTATAAATATACATAATCATAGCAACCGAACGGAAATTCATTATAGCATCAGACCTGCTTAGAAACTTGATAGCTGTGATAATAGTTGCATCATTAGCATGCTTAACGGTGTTGTGTCTGAACATGTATAATGTTTGTAATGTTTACATGTGTGTAGTGTATGTCCATTTTTGACTCAAACTGCATCAATGCTACTTACTCAAGTGAACATGTAATTGGTAACCGAGGCTTCGTGAAAACATGTAGATTGTGTTTCGTAAGTGAATAATCAGAAAAAGTGACACCACTTTTATGGTTTCTTTACGAATTACTTACGAATCGACAGTCCTTAAATATTTCAGTATTTGATGTTTCTCATCGTCGGATAGGTGCTCAACTATTACAAGACTAAATCAGTGCCGAAGAGGATTGCCAAAGAGCACTTTCTACGTGAATGGCGAAGAATTCAAATCATCAGCTATATGCACTTTGGCCGTTAAGCAAACCGCATGAACTCTCTAGAAATGTAAATCAGCAGAAGATGGAAGACAGCATGACCCAGCTATAACCGTATTATAACATCGCTATTCGACAATAAATTGCCCATGTGGGCGACGAAATATCTGCTCATTTCAGCTGTCGTGTCTGCCATAATCTACAGCACTGAATGTTTGTCTGCTACTGAGGCACCGACGAGAACGAACTGATGGTCATCCATGGAGAGATGTAGCTATAAATGTTCAGTCTCTCTCCGGGGATTATGTTCCCAGCGCACAATTTCGACAATGTACTGGTTTGGTAGATATAATGTTTGCCTTCCACAACTCCATATGAGAATATTTGCCAGCTACATGGTTTACCTCAAAGGTAACTGGTGGAGGTCAAGAGCCTTGCTTCCGCTGTATCACCAACATCCACTCGGTCGTTCGAAAAGCACGTTGGGATGACCCGAAGCTGAATTACTTGGCCAGTGGTGGCGGCACAAGGCGCAGAACATGGAATACTGGAGGAACGTCGACTTGAGTTCATGGCAAACCCATAGAGAAGACATGTTTGACAGCGCATTTTCTGTTTCGTGTTACCATGTGATATGCCTCTATATTGTCTGACCCAGTTTGCAGCAAATGGCATGTAACACAAAAATAGCGATTCATTTACGGACGCTTCGCCCACTCCGGGCATGGCGTCAATAGTAGAAATGGAAAATTTGTTCATCAGGTCATTTTATAAAACTGGCAGATAAAAATGGGCTTCAGCTGTAAGTGATTAGTAGCAAATTGTCACAAACGATCATTTGGTTGTGAAAAATTTCACGTGACAGAAGTCGGAACATCGAGGTCAGGCGGAGTTTATCCTCATTTTAATATGATAAGATCATTAACAAATTAAGGAATGTTGCCTTCATGCTGATGGTCGTTTCTTCACTGTCTAATTGAAAGTCACTGAATTATTGCAATATACCAGTGTTTATTAATTAGCTGAGTCACATATGCGTGTCAAGTTCAGAAGTCGATCAGTCCGCGCTTGGTTAAGTTATATGGCAGTCCAAGAACGCTCTGATTGGCGTCGTCTTTTGGTCTCCATGCCTTGCATAACTCATCATCACGACAGAGCAAGAACGACGGTTGAACTGTGTACAGTGTGAAGCATGGACGTGACGCTTTATAATGGTTAAATGGCAAGACCACGTAATGAATGACTCTTTTGATGGGCACAAGAGACCCCACTTAACACTGAGATTAGAAAAGGAGGTTGGCCTTGTTATTCAAACTGGTTCACTGTAATGCATTTACTCCAGCCCATAAGCTTCTAGTGTGGAAGTCAAATCACGGCGTCGACAAAGAGGCCAGCAGGCGGCAGGGAGAACTAGTGCAGAGGCAAATAATGTTTTCGAAGAAGAATATTTCCTTTTAATATGCGATAACCGTTTGAAATGCTGCACATGCAACAAACATCTCTAGGTAGAGACATCTTATTTATGCTAATGACTTAAGGTGATGATCACTCAAAGTCGTGCATGCTACTCGTCATCAATATTTAATTGCGTAGGATTACGGTAACCCTCGAAATTTGGACCATAATCCAGTTTTGTTCATATTGTGTCGTTATATTGTTGTTGTTGGTGAACCAGATGAGTTGTTTTTTGGAAAGTATAGTCTTCTGGATTTGCGTTTTGTTTCAGTTCACCTTTTCGTTGTTGCTGATTTTTGTGATCGAGGCTGTCGCCGGAGTCTTGTCCTATATCTACTGTGAGCAGATCGACCGCGAGCTGAAACAAAACTTTCAGCAAACGTTGATGGAACGTTATGGTAGTGATGAAACCGTGACGAAAGCCACCGATCGACTACATGAAACGGTAATTTATACTTATTCACGGTTTGATGCCTTTTTTCAACTCGATTCTCGTTCAGCATGGTTGCTGTGGAGCGGAAATGTTTCGGGACTGGCGCAACAGCACGTGGTATAAGACAGTCAACTCAGAGGCACAGGCGAAAAAGCGTGACGGTAAAATTCAACAAGTGCCAGACGTCTGCTGTCGGTCAGTAAAACCTGGTTGTGGGCGTCGCGATCACCCTTCAAACATTTACTATGAGGTTCAGTCATCTTTTACTGGTCGTTTTCTAACTTCGGCATTTTCAGGGCTGTCTACCAGTTTTGAGGCACGAAATACAAGAACAGGAGGTGATTCTTGGCGCAGTGGCTCTTGGAATTTCCGCCATCGAGGTAAATTATTCATTTATGAAATTAATGCGACAGATTGTAACAAATTTCTTGTGAATATCGTAGAACGTTGACAAGGCCAGAGTTTACGGTTGCGTGGCATGACAAGATACAGCGAATGGTTGTTAACTGCTAAGACATCCACAAAGCCTATCTTCCAACCCACAAGATGCTTACCACCAGGATTTTAGTAAAAACCCTTGAGGACGCGACAGTCTCTTCCTTTAATATTTCTTTTACTCCCTCCATGATAAGCTCAAATTGTTAAGCTGTCGTATGTTTGAAATGAACTTCCGGACTTTCGCACATCATAAGTAATCCGGATCTATCATTTCATTTCTTCTTGTCGTGGCATTTGCATTTTCATGTTCCTGTTTTGCCTTGGTATAGCGGCCTATCATCATTCGTATTTGAAGTATTTGCAGAGATACCTTTCGAATGCTACAGGCATACTTGGGACATGAGCAGTATCCTGTGGGTACCCACGTTCTGTAGAGAAGTCTGATATTTACGAATGTGTAATTATCCAAGAACCTGCTCAGTAACAACTAACTGGATTGCGGGCCTTCGTTTGGGTAGGGATTTTGTTGACCAATAAGGGCAAAGGAATGCTTCCCATTGTATTTGCATTGCTTTGACCCACATTATGAGCATTTGGGTTTTCCCTCTTTTGTCCTAAATAATGAGGGTAAAGTTGGCATAGAAAAAGTTAAAAACTGTAACTTGCTAGTGTTTAATTCGAAATACGTTAATGAAAAACGTAGTACAGAACGTAAAATTTCAGAAGGACGAGATAGGAACAGTGTATGATTAGGAGGAATAGGAGATGGAAGATAAATAGCGACTCAGCTTTTAAAGGCTTAAGATTTTCTCAGTATGTCGTATCAGGAGCGATGAAGGTAAGAAATTATTACCAAATATTTTCTCGCTTCCCAGATGCTTAGACATCCTAACCACGTATCAGGAAAAGATTCAGTTGATCAGTTTTGGGCGTCGAATCGAAATGCCCATTTAGAAATGTCTAATTATCAATAATTTCGACTTTTGATCTCCATATCAGAGCACCACTGAACGCTAAGAATATTAAGCAACTCAATGATGCGAAATATAACTTGGACTGTTGATGGAAGATTCGTTTTCAAGCGTTCGGCAGCGAGATTAAATCGAACGTTTCACGTTTTGTTTTTTCATAACTTAGCTTCGCTTGGGGATTTATTTTTCAACTGCGATTGTCTTAACGGCTTACGTTTATCCCAGAAACAGTCGAGCAACAAGACTCTGATGTGTGATGAAGAAAGGTGAGCCAAGGTGTATCATTTTTTTCGTTGTCGACTTGGGTCTTCTCCATTTTACTAGTATCTCCAAGCACCTTGGTGGAGGCCACTCGGCGACGTTGAGCATCATTTTTAATCGCGGCTAGTGCAAATGATGCCTTCTGGTGAGCAGATCATTTTGGAGAAGTTAAAC